TTTTTTTTTTTTTTTTTTTTTTTGTGGTAATGGTTATGAGTATGTATGCCTGTATTTCCACATATGTTCGAGTGAATTAGTTCTTCCTTCGATAAATTTGTGGAAATTTGTTGATTTTCTTTTCGTCCGTGAATCGGCTGAATGTTAACCAGTTGGATCAGTGTGGTATGCGGACGTCTCAGTGTACAATACAAGGGTAAGTTGAAGTTTTATGATTTTGTGTAGTTTCTTGTGTTTAATCTATGGTGCACTAGTTTATTGACTTGGTGGTTGTCTTACTTCTTAAACTGAGTAGACCTGTTACATGCATTAGAGGAACTGATACTTGCTTTGAGTAGGCTGGAACAATATGTTATCAAAGTTGAGGGAATTGATACGAACCTTTAATAGGCGTTTATATGTTCTTATGCATATCTCTCGTTAATTCAACTGATGTTTGGTGTGTCGATATGTCATATGTGTAGTCCTGGGGTAGTGCTTTAATGGTAGCCCAGAGATGATATTTTATGTTCTTTATCTTGATCTAGGACCACCATGTGCTTGAGTATCCTAATTCAACCTATCTTGACTCTTGAATGTCAATGTCCTTCATAAGGTTCCAAAAGTCTTGTTAAAAAGGGTTAAGCTTGAACATGTTACTTGTGTTGTTGTCCATCGAAGACTTTTGACGTTTGTTGAATTATTCATTTGATTCTATAACCGAGATCGTGTTCAGCATGGAAGAAGCGGTTCAAAGAGGAAGTGGAAGAAAGCTGCATCCATGTCATTGATGTTGTAAAGATACTTCAGATAGAAGATTATGCCCAGGTTTGACATATTATTTAATATGAATTTATTTATTTTTTTCCTTATTCTTGTAGTCAAGAAAATGAGGATAGCTTAATGAAGTTGGCAGAGTAACACTAAGTTCAAATTCAGGATGGTGTTTGGGTTTCTTCATCAGAATATGGGTCAGCTAAACCTGATCCACTTAGGGACTGTGCAGAAAAAAATTGTTGATGAGATCAACACCCACAACAAAGAAGATGTTCTCACGGTTCTGCAACATTTGTGGATTTTTAGGTATTTCCCTGTTCGATCGCAAAATTGGTGACCTGTTTCTGTTTTTTCACTGCTTCCTCTTTTGTTGGAATTCTTGAGTTTAGGTTACATAAAATTCAGCTTGTTTCATTTCTGTTATAATCTTTGTCGCAAAGTTGTGGTTCATAGTTAAATCATACTATATAACACTGGAGATTATTTCCTGAAGTGAACAGATCCTGCCAGGGTCCAGCAGTAACTATAAAACACACATAGCCTGTATTTTGAGATATTCTCTTTTGTATTTAGATATTTAACAATTGATTGGCTGTTGAATTTGGTACTTTGGGAACTGGATCTGAATGTATATAACTATTCCTTTAACCATTTCGGCAAGTCAAGTTCTAACTATCATGTATTCATCACAGTGGGTGCTGTTTGATGTTGATTTTCCAGCTATTCTGATATTTTGCTGTTTACGATTGCATTCCAGATAATGTAAGGTATGCGACCAAAATGCGTTTATGAAAATTGGCGGACCGTAAGCAAGTGTTGGGACCAGAAACAAAATATATTGTTGCCCTAACTAAAAGAAGTCAATAGAAATAAAAAGCATAGCTGCTAAACAAAAAATCCCCAGTTCACAAGATGGACCGTTATGTGTTGAGACAGTTATATTACAGTATCAGTTATTTTATACACCAACTTCTAAGGTATCTGTATTATATAGAGACTAGAGGTGAGTTACATTTAGTGCAGCTCATAGGCTTAGAATGTCAACAGTTTTCTGCTTGAATTCTTATTTCATGATTTGGTATATAGTGAATTCTAAGTCAGCTTGTGTTTATATTTTATTTTTCGTTCTCATCTTGTCTGGGAGCATTGGTAAGAAAGAGGGAGGTTCTCACATTTAGCATTGGGGATTTACACTGTTCTTGTATCTATACATTATATCTGGATAATTATTGCTTTACATTGAATAAACTTTAACATAGTTTGTGATGGTAGAAAGTACTAACATTATGTTTTAACGGCATTCAACACGCGGCAGCAGGGGTTGACGGGAAGTGATCGATAACATGATCAGCACTTGTGTTGATGACGATCAAATCTGTGCATTTGCTATTACTGTGCTTGCCGAGCTTTGGTAACTGGAAAAGCGTGCCAATTAGATTCTCCAAACTCTCGCCACTATGCTTTACTCCCACATCGATCTCGTATTCTAGTCCTCCTGCCGGCATAAATCTTTGAAGATAGCTCTTGTAAGGCGGAACAATTGTCTCGACTATTAACTGACAAATTTTCCACCTCAAGGCTTTATCCGACAGTATCCACTTTGACTGCTTTCTGTACATGTTGTCAAAGGCTTCACAGAATATGCTAATCCTCTTCTTAACCAAATCCCGATCGACGGCTCTACCGCCCGGGAACAAGGTTAGGTCATCTTCACGCAAAAGCTCGACAATCTTCTCCCAACTCTCTCTCATGTACGACACTGCGTGGTACCCCAAGGACCCCTCATGGGCCCACACCCAAGAATCTCCCATTAATTTTCCGAGCTCGGTTCCCCTTGCTCTTTTGAACAAGTACCAATGACTGTTCATCATAAACAGGTGTGAAAGTGCTGCATCCTCGTAACTTCGGGCCCAAGTCTCCAGGTTGATCTCGAGTGCTTTTATTATGTTGTTAATTTCAAAAGAAAGAAGCTGCTGCCCATTTACGGGTTTTATTATCTGATCGTTATTATTCCAGGCTCGATTTATCTCTAGAACCCGGGCAAGGATCGAGCTGTTTCCCTCTTCTAGAAGATGATTGCAGTAGTCGGTAACAAAACGAACGAGTCGCGGGGTGCTGCCGTTTGGCGGCGGGCCCCACGCCCTCTGCAGCTCCACTTGCACCGAGAGTCCCCGAAAGGTCCCGCACGTCTCTCGAACCACTCTCCTGACGAGACCCCTCGTCTTGTTCTGTATCCCGATGCAAAATCTCCCGCCAAACAGGTCGTTGAAATCCAGCCTCAGCCTGTCGAGTGTCGAGAATATCCTCAGCAGCCTCAGGAGCTTGATTGCCTCTTTCTTGCTTTCACAAATTCTGCTCGCGAAATCGAATATTTCCATAAATCCGCATCGGCTAGCGATTTTCGCAAAGCAATTCATCCACGCATCATCATGGCCCGAACCGATTACTTCACGGTACACCTCACTGCACAGCCTGTGCTCGTTGTGCAGCAAATGCCTCACCACAAACTCCATGTGCTGATCCCACAGGTCAATATAACTCTCTACAGTTTGACTGCTTACAGTTTCATACAGTTGGATATCCATGCTGAGGGCCCGTAAAGTGGCCCGAGCATTTTCGACCCGAGCTTCCGTGTAAATGGATATGCACCTATCCAGTCGACCGTTAGCGGCTAATATTTGGATAATTGCTTGCAATTCTTGAATTGCATCAGGAGATGGAAAATGATCTATCGATCTACTTTCGGTCGCGAGACTTTTGTACTCGTGCTCGAGTCTGTCTATTGCCGAGGATAAAACCACCGAGCCGTACTCTTTTCCCTGCGGTTCCTCCAGTTTCTTCATGACTGTTGACAATCGGCCAAGGTACCAGTCGCCAAAATCATCGCCATCAGCAGTGCCTCGATTTCCCAGAATTCGCACGACATCTTCGAGCCATGTCGTCGCCAATCTGCAATTATTGACGAGCAGTTTTAGCGCCTCCTGGAGCCGTTTGACGTCATTAATGTAAGCGAATAAGCCTGCGACGCGTGGATCCGTCTCGAGTGAGGCCTGCAGCTCGTACACCAGGCCAAGGACCTTCAGGGCACCGGCAGCTGGCCCAATGGCTCGGTCGATCTCGCTTTTGATCTCGTAAATCGAGCATTTACTGGCCACGTCGTGTATGGCCGCTTGTAGATACGGCAGACCGCTGCTGCTCGTCTTTTCAAGTTTCGAGCCGGTTTTGTCGAGCGCGACTGCTATATCTCTCGATTTCTCTATGCTGCTCTTTAGTATGTTTCTAGCAGCAAGCAGATCGTTAAATCCCATGCTGGCTATATACTATACTAACCATTACATAACCTTAAAAATGATGAATTATTACAGAGGTGTTTGTGTGTTTTTTTGGACAACATTAACTTAGGGACACGGCACTTGAACAATGCTGCAAAAAGGAGATGAAAATTGCAACCAAACTTCACTGCTAAAAAAAGGAATGGAATTGTAGAATTTCCTCAACTGCCCAACAATTTCATAAACTGCTTACACATTTCAGTTTGGAAAATTTGTGACCTGTCTTTCACTCATATTACACTTGGCCCCACACCTTTGGATTTTTAATTATTTATTTATTTATTTATTTTTGTAAATTAGGTTAATTACTGAAAATGTTAATTCAGACATTTAATTACCAAATAATGAAATTAGTTATTTTTGTGGGCTAAAACATCTAATTCACTTTCAAACTTTTTTTTTTTTAACCTCCAAAAATCTCATTCATCATGAATGTATATTAATTAAGAAAATATATAATAATTAGAATTGATGTAATATAAACATAATAAATATATTAATTTATAATGGTTTATGTTTTATAATAATATTATATATATATACATAACGACTTTTGTTTTCAAATTGTATTAATTAAATTGTATAGAAAAAGTGAGATAAAATAAATATAATTTATCCTTTTTGAAATAAAAATAAGGTTAATTTTACCTTAGCTCTCCATCTTAACAATTTCATGTTCTTAAATTTCTTTCATTCTAAGTCCCATAAATCTTGTTTGATGCCACACGTTGTCACAAATTTGTTGTTGCCTTGGAGAATATAGCTAGATTGAATTGTACTTCAGTTTTATTTTATTGGAACTTGTACCAAGCATTAAGCGAAAGCTATTTATATATGTTCAAGTTCAACACATTATCCATAGCATGCACGGATCGCTGGGAAGACGCATTCGAATGTTCGATTTTGACTAATTTTTTGCTAGATCTAGAAACTTTGACCGCAATATTGATAGCCTTCCCAGATGAATTTTCGAACAAAATTTTAAGGGGAGATTCTCCTCGATGAGATCTATCCAATGGTGTAAGAATATTTTCGATCCGGTCACTTTGGCTGGAGGCCCGCGGCGGCGGCTGCTCGAGTCGAAGGAGCTTTGTTCGAATTTTCAGACGGGACACCGTTTGGCTTTTTGAACGGGTCCCCATAGACGGCGCCAAAATGATGGGACAAAGATGTCACCCGGGCTTCCTCGACTCGGACGGCCACCGTACCTGCAAGAACCCAAAGCCAGAGACCCCGGGAGGGGTGCCCGGCTTTGGGTCTCCGATGCTTAAGTTAGTATTGGATTCATGCATATAGAGAAAGTGTGTAGAGAGAGGAATTGTAGTAAGGGAATGAGTAGAGAATGTAGGAAATGAGTACCTTAGCCCCCCTTTTATAGGTGGAGTGTACC